TATATATATATATATAATTTCGCCTTGTAAAAATAACATCCTCATTAATTATATAGTAATTGATATATTTCACCGGTCAAGACGTCGACGACGTTTATTGTCTCTTTCGTTTTGCAAAAAATATTTTCCATACACGTTTGAGAGGGACTGCAATTTCGACTTGACTTTTCCCTCCAAGGAATTTAGCTAACTGTTAAAAGAGAATTCTAAATATTTATAAGATCTTAAATGATTCAATCAATGGACCTTAAGTGCTATTTATAAGGTTTGAATGGGAGTATGGTGGAATTCAAATGTTCTGAAAGCTGCTCCTTCATGTGTTAGGCCCCTACTTGAAAGCTCAAGATGTGAGACAGAGACGGCCATGGGAGAGGAGATGAGAAAGTAAGTGGGCATTTACATTTATAGTACCTAATTCCTATGTATTTACTTGGCTAGCACTTAAATCTTTGTTTTACATTTACACCTTCGTCTCTCTGGTGCATTCTAATTTTATTGTTCATTATTATGCTCTCTCTGTTTTTTTCTTTTCTATGACACTCTATTCCTTGGGTATCTCTCCCGGACACTATATTCCCTGGGTGTCTCTCCCGGACAGTTTCACATTCACCTTCCTAAAATGACGGTGAGCGTGGAGTCATGTCATGAACAAGAAGAGGAGAATGATAACCAGTAGAAGAGAATAATAACAACAAGAAAGCAACCAGAGAGACGGAGTGAACATGGAATGCACCAGAGAGTTTGTGGAGTTCATACATGCAACAGGAGATGTGGGAGCCAATGAATCAGATAACGAGACAAATTGTAGAGGTCATTAGAGTTGTTACGGTTAAAGAAGGAGAACACACTTCTCGAGGGCAGAACCCTTCTCAAGAAGCAATGATATGACGCAATGACAAGAGACTGGACTATGGCCCAGACAGAGTCGAGGACTCGCAATAGCAAGATAATTCTAGATCTGCACTGACGAAGAGAAAATGATTCGGGTGTATTGAGGCCCCAAGCTAACCAAAGAATGCATTCTCACTTTAGATCTCGGGTGTTGAGCCCCCTAAGAAGTATAAACTTCATACGTTAGAATCTTACATGGGCCTGTCAGAACCTAATGACCACCTCGTATTGTTTGAATCGTGATGTGTCTATTGAAAGTTTAAATGTTGTCTATTTTTTACCACCCTAAGATCATCAGCTCTGAGGTATTTCAACTCATTGTTGGTCGGGATGATCGCTTACTTTTTTGACTTCATAACTTAGAAGCCTCTTTTTGGTGCAGTTTGCAAGTGCCCAGAGGCCTAAAAAGAGTGTGCAAGCCTTGTTGCATATTAAATAAGGGTGAAGAGTAAGTATGTGTTCATATACATATTAAATAAGGGTGAAAAGTAAGTATGTGTTCATATATTGCATGGTTCTAGAGGGAAATATTGGAAGTGAAGGACCAGCGACCCGATATGGAATTAGTTTCCTTGACCCAAGGCATGAGGGGTGAGAGCTTCTGATTCAACCTTAACTTGGTTGAACTATGGAGATGTCAAACAAGTATATTAACACCGAAGAGAGCACCATCAAACTCGAACAATGTATCATTGCCCCAACAAGGGTCCCCCCAAAAACAATGGATGGAAGCCGAAAAAAGAAACTCACGACCGCTCGTCCATCCAATAGAGGAACAGACCGGAGCAATAATTAAGGAAGCCAAGTGAGGAGTTGTGACCAAGGACTAACCCAATGCTATGAGAGACCTATTTAAGACTATAAAAAACCGCCAAATGGATATGCGTGTGCTCAGGACACTCTGTTAAGGATATCGATGATCGAGATAGTGGATACCAACTAGGACAGAGAATAATTCAAGAAAGCATCATCCATGAGGGATATGAAAAAGTACTGCAAATATCACAGGGATCATGACTAAGACACGGAGGAGGTTAGACACCTCCAGAGCCTGATCGAGGAGTTGATTAAGTCTGGAAAGTTGAAGGATTTTGTCGCACCCAAAGCTGCGT